GTGAGGTCCCGTCGGCTGTCAAGGTGGATTTTAAAAATCCAATGGCACAATTCAAAACGAGAAGGGAGTTTCTCTTGGTGTCCTGGTCAACAATCCCCTAAATAAAATTGGTCATTCACTCCATGGGATATTGCTGCGCATATATTAGCTGCTGTGTTTGACCCACAAAATACACAGTCACACCATTTTACAGTATCTGAAATGTGAAGCACTTTGAGACATCTCAATATTATGATAAGGAATTATGTCAAATAGAAGAAATATTATTATAACAACAATTTACCTTTATATAAAGCCCTTTATCCTTTACTACTATGTCTTGGAGTGCCAGATGAGTTAAGCTGGCATTCCATCAATTGCAGTATGAAAACCTTTGGCCCATACATTATCCCATAGTGTTTCAAAAACCCACCCTGCCCCTTCTAGTCTTTGGGGAAATAAATGTGAAAATGAAATGTTTCCCAATGTCTTTGGTTGCTATTCAATCATTACAAAACATCACATCCTTACTCTCACGTTTTGTGTCAAAATAATTTTAACACTTGTAAAGTAATGTTAATCGTGAATTGACGTCTTATGGAGCATTCACTCCTAAGCTCCAAATGATCTCTTATTGTAGATGACTTCCTTGAATACATTTTAAAATTATGCTCATAATTGCACACACACTCTTCCACTTTCTGCGTGATTCTGGAATCAAGAATGCAAGAATATAATTATGAAATTATGTACCCACAAAAAGAGCTGCCTAATAATTTGATAATCCTTAACCAATTTAATTAAATTGTTTGATTTATAATTTAACATTCCCTCTCCGCATATTTAATGGATGTTTATATTATTAACAAGATGCGTGTGTCAAGTGATTTGATGCAACACAAGGTTGCCTCATAAAAATAGGCTAATTCTAACAATCACACTCTCAAAATGTGTTGCTATACCTCAGCACAGGCACTGTAAAAGCAATAACAAAGTAGTTATTGACCATGTATATTTATAGAGAGAGCAGTACCCTTATAACTGGATACAGCCTGGAGATTATAAAAAATCACGACAAAATGGGATTTATTAACTAACATGGAGGCAGCAATCTGTAGCCTGAAGCTTTACATTACTGTTGTCAATGGCAACAGAACAATACATCGTGCAACTGAGGCTAGATATAACAGACTGCAGATTTTAGGGGACAACGGACAAAGATTTTTTTCAATCGTGCCAGCATGCATGCTTGCAAAGTAATTATTTAAGTAATTATTGAACCTTTGACGGCATAGTGTGCTGAGTGAGATTGAGTATCAAATGCAACAGTGCAAACAATGATAATCCCAGCAGATAATTATATAGAATTACACAGTCCATGCAGCACCGAAACTGGCCATTCATCCCAAAGAGTCTGTACCGTCTGTGTTCATACAGTGGCCCAAGGTTATACAGTGGATGACACTTCCCACCCCATCATTGGTGGTCAGGGATTCAGTATCTCTGCCCCCACACTCTGGAAATCTATCTCTCAATCCTTCCACCACATCCCCTCTCTTGTCTCCTCCAAGTCCTGTCTAAAGGCCTTCCTCTTCGACCATGCCTTTGGCCACCCTCCCATCCTCATCCCACCGCCCTCCACCCCTCCTGACCCCAACTCCCAGCTCAGGTCCAGCGCCCTGGGACGTCTTTCCAATGTGAAGAGTGCTATATAAGTGTAATTTGTTGTTGTTGTTATACTCCATAGCAGCCTCTACCTATCCTTAGTCCCTCTTCCATGGTGCTTTATTCCCTTCTCCCTAATGTAAGCTTCCCTTCTCCTTCATGTGTGTGAGTAACTCAGATCTCAAGTTCCCATCTGCGAATACATACACAACAGCTAATGAAAAAAATCACCTGACATTCTGATATAGATTAAAATTAACATATCCGCAGAAGTCCTGGATATTTCTGACTCATACATATTGAATGCATCTTCAAACTGCTACAAAACAATTTCTTGACGTCCTGTCAATGACCCAAAAATGACCAAGACAATCACAATCAACATAAACGGGGTGAGAGGGAAGTGTAATGATTCAAGTCATATTTACATACAGAATCGATCTCGGCTCAGTTGCATTTTCCGTTTGCTAAGTAACAGACATTTCAATAATATGTTAGTCCTATTGATGGTATTTATTAACAGAATTATTTAATTACTCAATGCTCCAAGATGATAACCTGTTGGAAGAGTACTACATGAGTGCAAATTCTTGCTGTTAATAAGAGTGGTACAAAAGGAATGCAAGATCCTCACAATAAGAATGAAAAACCAACCTGTGAGAATGCTGCTTCAATGAGATCCACATTTGGAGCCAAATTCATGAGGATGAAAGGGAATTCTAACTGGATTTCTTAGGAATCATGTTACATTGTAAATTATATCCCACTATTGCATTGATTAAGGGAAAAACATCCTCTTTTTCGAGAGGAGTAGAGGGGAATTTCACAAAAAATGCAACACAATTAAAAAGTTCACATACAGGTGCTGAATATCATTCACAAAACAATTATATCATTTTCATACAATAATCATATTTTCTGAAAGAGAAATTAAAAATGTAGCAAATGTAAATGCTTTGTTCCACCTGCAATCTTTGTCTTACTTTTCCAGTTGTGTCAAAAGCAAGGATTATTATTACAGGTATTTTGTCTTCATCCCTATCTCTATGATAATCTTGTGGTCTGTGTGGATTAGGCCACCCTGTTCATCAATATTAGCAAAGCAGATTGACAAGAGGGATCGAATATGCATAACATTTTTAACATCAAGAACATAGGAATTAAAGGTAGAAAGTCTGTGTGTGTAGATAGTTTCTTGGAAGATATTCTATAATTCATATAATACCATTTCTGAATAATTGAGTTCTCATCCACGCCTTCTCAAATGCACACTTTATCAGTCTTCCTTGTTCCACCATCCATAACTTATATAACCACCTGTTTCAAAGCTCTGCCACCCGCATCCTTACTTGCACCAAATACCACATGCCCATTCCAGGCTCCTAAGAGATCAACTTCAAGGTCTTTCCCCTCACTTACAAATCATGCTCGAGCACTCGCCTACAAGGTATACAGCCAATTCACTTTGCAATATATTCTGTGAAGTACTTTGAGACGTCTCGAAGACGTGATAAGACGCTGTATCAAATGCAAGGATTATAGGATTATGTATCTGTGATTTTTATCTACCTCACTCTTCTGTTTGCCTGCTCAGCTAACTCCGGCTTGCTATGCATTCCAAATCCTCTCTGCGCAAGACCATCGTTAATTGAACCTTCAGCAATGACATACCTAACCTTTTGAATTCTCTCTCTCTACCTCTCCAACTAAGCCCCTCTTTAACTGTTTTTAAATCCTGCTTAAAAACCTTTTCGACTTTGCCTTTGGTCATCTCCCCCTCCCCTCCTTACGTGGCATCCGTCTTTGTGAAGTGCTCCAAGATATTATTCTATGAAAAGGGCATAATATAAATAGAAGTTGTTCTTGTACTGATCCTTTGTACCTTTTTTCATTGTTTATATTTCCTCACTGACCTCCCGAACTGTCCACTAAGTAGTTGTTTATTTTGGTCACTTAACATGTCCTGTGGCCCCTCTCTTGAAATCTCCTTTCCAAATTTAATAATAATAATAATCCTTGCATTTGATATAGCACCTTATCACGTCTTCGAGATATCTCAAAGCGTTTCACTACTGTAAAGTGTAGTGACTGTGTATTTTGTGGGCTAAACGCAGCAGCCAGTTGTGCACAGCAAGGAATTTAGAGGTAAGGGGGGCGTTTCCCTTGACTGTCAAATGAATATAACATTTCTATGTATAATAAGTGTCCTGCCTCCTCTGAAAGTCATGGAATCTGACATTGACTCCACTATGTACTGTATTTATTTTTATACCACTCAATTGGGTCATCAACATACTTCATCAAAGTGGACATGTCATTATTACAGAGTACTTCTTATTTGCTGAATGGATTTTGTTTACATTTTTATTAATGAAATTGCATTTCTCATTCTCAGCATTTGCCTGCAAAAAAAGACACTGTACCTTACAGTGAATCCTCTGAAGCACTTTGAGATATCCACCTGATGTTATTATCATCAGTATTACTTTAGAACTCCTGCAATTTCATTAATTTAGAAAAGTTCAACAGGTCCTCAATTATGATTCCTTCCAGTATTCATTTCTCAAAATTCTGGGTCTTGTAGCCTTATAAAAGGACTACCACATTGCTTACAGAACAGAACTGTTTACTGTCCACAGTGAAGTGCTCTCATTTTCTTTCTTATTTCTCCCATTTTGTAGAACAGAAAATGTGTTGATGGTTTATTATGGGATCAGAAGAGCCTCCAGCAGATAGACTGAGCATCCCTGGTGCATTCAGTGCTTCCCTGTAGTTTGCTTCACAAACTATAACATATTCAGGTACCTCCACTGCTTGTTAAACCATTGTTGTGTGCAGGAGTGAATGTAAAATGAGCTCACATATTGACTAATTCCTAATAATTCCCCACAGGACATGTATCTGATCTGCCATCAGCAAAGGGCACAGAGCAATGCCCAAGGATCTCTTTATAATAAATGATAAAGAATAAGGAATGGGTAATTCTCCCCTCAGCCAGGAGAGTAGAATTTTCTTTTTTTGTGGAAAATCTTCAAAGTTGACTAAAAGTTTATAGGAGTAATAATTTATCACAACACAGAAAATGTCATCCTGTCAATGACTGAAGTCTCTTCCCATTTCTACCTATCTGAATGTCATTACCATGCCTGTGTCAGAGGCCATGTTGGACTTCAAAATGCATTCACCAGAGTTGCATTTTTACGCCAAAAATACTTTTTCCCAAACCACTGTAGACAAATTTACTCACCACCTTACTTTCAAATGTAGCTTTTATTAACATTTGAACAGACACATCAGCTGGACTGTATCCCTTATACAGATATACTAGGCAACAGACAGAATCAAAATCATATTACCTGATTTGACTCTGGGCAATGGCAATAGCTCTTAGAACTCCCAAAATCCACCATCACTCCCACTGGAGAAAGTCCTGCTTCCTTGAGGACCTCACTACTCCTCCTCTTCCACTTTTAATGGTCACTTTCTTACTGAAAGTAAATTCCCTCACCCCTGTACATATACATAGATGCAGGAGAATCAATATCGATTCCACTGGGAGGTGTGCTGACCCTCTACACAACTCCAACTCTTTCAGAGTTACATCTTTCCTTTATGTGTTTCGAACTCCACCCCCACTGGTCACAGAGATAGCCCCCACCCTTCGCAGGCTGCTCTGCACAGAGAGAGATATGGACAAGTTCTGGGTAGCCTTCCACAGTCTGCTTGTTTCTCAGCCTTGAGATAGGCAGCTGTCTGAGGCTGCAGCCTTTTCTTTCTGTGGCCCATTGTTCTTACATCAATGCTCAAGGACCCGATTGCTCATTATCTCAGAGGAGTGAACATCTTCCCAGGAAAATATGAAATGTAATCAGAAGCTGACCTCAGCCCGTCCAGCAAAGCTACTTTTAACCCCTGCTGAGCTAGCTGTTAAATCAAAGTTCTTGGTGTTCCCAGCTCCAGGATGACCTTCACTCATTATCTCTTGCCTATTTCTGTTACTGCGGTTACATACCATTTCCACTTATTTTTGCACATATTTTTAACTATATTGGTTACTTTTTAACCCTCAATTCTTCTGGAACATTCAGATGGTGGAGTCCTGTGGCTCAGTGGTTAGAGCACTCAATTCCAGGCAGGGTGAAACCTTGGGCAAGTTTCCTTACTCCACACGCCTAATAATAATCCCTCCAAAAAAACAAAACAATAATAAATTGGTCATTTTCAATCCATATGACTGTTTGTGGGACATTGCTGTGCGCAATTGGCTGCCGCGTTCGCCCACAAATATACAGTCAATTCACTTTACAGTGTGTTCTGTGAAGCGCTTTGGGACGTCCTCCCGACGTGAAAAGCGCTATATCAAATGCAAGGATTATTATTATTTTTATTATTATTATTAGATGCTGCTATCAATTTATTAGTGCATCCCGAGGTGATAGTCAGTATATTTCAACACCACAAAACTTGAGCTCCAACTTGATCACCTCAGAACATTCCTTGCAGACTAGCCTCACTGACATGGGGATCCTTTGGAGAAGATGCACTTTATATCCCAAGGCACTATTTCGATGCCTAGACACTACTTACTCAACAACTGCTTTTTTAGCCATAAAATATGGCCTTGCCATCAGGCCTTTATACAAGCTTTATACCTCACTCTTACGCTCTTGAGAATTAACTTTGTTCTGCATTAGTTTTATTGTTATGCATGCGGATGACACCCAACTCTACCTCTCTGCCTCCACCCTTGACTCCAGGACCACTGTTGTCCTGACTGAATTCTGTCGGACATCAAGTCCTGGATGAGAGCTAACTTTCTTCAGTTGAACATCAACAAGACCGAGACCCTCCTGATGGGCCTTCTGCCACTCTGCCCCCACCCTCTGGAACTTCATCCTGTTGTCCCTCTTTCTCGCCCTCTCGATACTCAAGACCCTCCGCGTTGACCGTGCTTTCGTTCTCCCTGCTTCCCCTCCTGCCCTCCACCCTCCCCGACCCCGACTCCCAGTTCGGATCCGTAACTCTGTCTGTCCAGTGCCTTGGGACTAGATATGAAAGGCGCTTTATAAATATTATTTTGTTGTTGTTGTTGCTAACAGCTTTACATTTGAACTGGATCATTTAAATAACTGATGAATGAAACCCAAATCCTTCTTTCCTTCCTTTTGCTACTTTCCATCATCCTAAGACAGAAGGGTCCACAGTATTCAAGGCACTGCTGATGACAACACAGCCAGCCTGGCTCATCAGCAGGACCTGGAAGAACAGACCAGTCACTGGGGGAAGGGAGTCATCCCATTCAGCTCCTGTTAACTCTACAAGTCAAAGCCCTAATGCGTAGGGTGGTCCTAGCTGAAAAAACAGCAGGAATGCTTGCCGGACAGCAATATCAATGGCAAGCTATGCACTTTTAGCTGGTTACACTCCAACAGTACCCCGATGCACATTCTGGGTTCCCAAGCCTTGGCTCTTGCTAATCTGAGCCTAATACTTTCTGGGATTGGGTAAGCGGGATGTGTCCCTCCAGGGAGAGAATGAGCATACCATTCCAACAATCTGTCTCTGGGTTTTCCGTATTTAGGTGGGATGCATGGAATTCTCAGCGAGGTTTGGATACCCTTAAGCATGGTGATGGGTTTCTGCATGTGTCTGACATCCAGTTGACTCCCCCAAAAATCATGCACACATTTGTTCTCTCCTGCAATATTTTACTTTCATCCAGATTAAAATCTGTCTACCATTGTTTAGCACACCATGACAAAGTGAATGACAGACAGTTATTAAGATCTGTTAAGAAGCATCATTTTTCAACCCTGAAGTGCATTTGTAGGAGTTTATGATTTGAACTGATACTGCCGACTCTGCAGATTTTGATAGCAAAGTTAAGCAGTGCAGCACAAAACATCTCAGGGATGTTAAATAATTAAAGATTAGAACAGAATTCATAGAGATAATGGCAGATAAAGGATTGAACTGGGTCAGTTGGTTCAGGGATCTTTAAGAGTGAGGCTTTTTATTAAGTGAAACTTTACAAAAGATTTAGCCACTGTACAGTTTTCCATGACATAAACCCAAAGTTAAATGAACAGTAGTCTAGCATCCAAATGTAACCTAAATGAAAATGTTCCCCAATGCCTTCATAGCGCTCAGTGAGAGCAGTGGAGTTTCATTGCTCTTATCAAAAGCAAGTGGTGTGCATCCAGGCCACTTTTGCAATGTCTTATTTTCATTAAAACAAAGATTTGGTAGATGGAATAATGGCTTGGTAAACTTTTGAACACAACAGGGAGGAACTATGTGACCTTTTCAATTAAAGTCTCTGTGTTTGTGCACCCAAGAGAATGTGGCATCACATGTAACTGGAGAATTATACAGTTAAAAATAGCTTGTTATCATGGGTTATAATGGCTCTCCAAATCCTGACCTGGTATTTGAATCTCCTGATTCAGAGAAAGAGTGCTCCCAACCGAGCCAGGCTAACACACAAGCATTTTTGTGGTGGCAAATATGCCACAGACATAAGCTTAAAATGTATTTTAAGGACTCTGAGATGCTACCCTGAGTGAAGGATACTATATAAATACAAGTTGTTGTTTTGTTGATCATGAATGATTCCAAGGTGCAAATATTGCATGTCACCCCACCCCTGTTTATCAAGTCTAATGTTAAGCATTCACATTTAGATGCTGCTATCGAGCTGCTTAATTCTGCAAACGTTCTTAACAATGTTTTACAGATTAAATCAAAACATTTTCTCACCCCTTTTGTTGAAGATGTTTAGTTTCTGAAATGATGAGAATGAAGAGACGGCCATTGAAAATGAAGAATTCATCCTTTCACAGGAACTCCTGACATTCACATTTATTCATTTCTTATTCAAAATATGATGTTCTCTCCCGCACAGCCGCTGTGTGCGGGGGAGAAGAAGCAAGTAATGTTCATTGAGCGGAGAGAGCGGCCAGGTTGGTAAATTTATAGCAAGTCCCAGATGTACGATGGGGTTGATTTAAAGGTAAGAATGAGGATCTTGAATTCAATCCACTGGAGCCTATTGTTGGAGAGGACATGGGATATTATATAGGTGTCATGATATTCACAATAAAGATTTGTAAATAGAGACTTCTGCATTTAATTAAAGGTGTGTCTTACCGACAAATTTGTCACACTGGAGAACATAAGTAACATCGGCAAAAAGTTCCCATGGATTAATGTGACCCAAACTCAGTTAACTGCAAGATTTCCTATTGTAAATCAAGATACTTAATTGCACAGTTTCAAACCCAATGGAAGCAAACAGTGACAATCACCGTTAGGAGCAGTTTGTCAGTCATTCATAATTTTAATGGAATTTCATTCAATATTCCTTGCCCGTCTGAATGTTGAAATCTTTTTACTATAGTTAAATGTGTCCTGCGAGTGGACAACCTATGAAGGGCATATCACTGATTCATTGTTTAGGAATAAGCAACAGAATGCAGCTAGTTTCCTTGGTCTTTGCCATGTATAGGGTTATGACCTTCTTTATTTTCATTGTGCAGGCTGGAGAGAGGAATGATTACTTCCAAAAATCAATTTCATAGGAGCGGAATATTATTTCCTGTGTAGTCAGTGCAAACCCTGATGAATATTGCATTTTTATTGGCACAATATAACATTAAATAGAAAATAGTAAAGACGGAAAATTTCATGATGCCCTGAGCTAATGTTTTTAAGAAAAAGGTTGCGTGGAATCATCATAGAAATTGTCACAGTTGTTTAACTAACTCCATCAGGAGAAATTTACAGTGCACGTTGCACACAAGGTATGTATAGCTGGAGGTCATCTGGTCAATGGATCCTATGCTGGTGGCAGCTCCTTGCTGAAGTGAAATAGACATATATCAGTTACTTACTCTTTCCCACAACCTGTAATAAGGTTTATTGTCAAATATTTACACCGAAGACACACTACACTTTATATTCTCTGAAGCATTTTGAGACATCCCCCCAAAGTGAAAGGCAGTCTACCAAATGTAAAGATTATTATTATTAATTCAGTTTTATACATTGTTACAGCTTTGCTTCTATAATCACTAATGCAAACATTCTACAACCTTATTATAAGCTTTTTGATAACATTTGCATGGAACAATAAGCAGATTGAAAAGGAGGTATTTTCAACAGTAAAGTCATCAAACCAGAGGAAATTTGAATTGGAGGTAATTAAACAATTCTAGGCCAAATAACCAGGAAATAAAATTCTGTAATGTCTCTTTTACCAAGAGACATTACAGAAAGTTGAATTGGAATGAACAAAAAATCACTGTTTCAAATAAGATTTACTTGTTTGAGGTCCCACTGAATGCAGTCAAAAAAGTGATTCTGATATAGCTTCCTAAGTTCAGCAATGTGAAGTGATATGTTTCTCCTGAGGGAAATTTACAATTATTTCTTATTTCTATGTATAGCAAACACTATTATATAATGTACCTTTTTTTGTAACAATACCATATTTGGTGCTGAACTTCCAACTTATATGTGTATTTTTGGCAATAAAGCATAGAAATGTTTTCCTTATTAATCTAATGGTTATATTATTTGTAATGTGTGGGTAATTTTAGCTCTCAGTGATATCTATTGAATGTTGTTGCAATTCAAACACAACATAGATCACAACTGCATTATATTGGTCAGCCGAGCGTCTCACACAATTGGATTGAAGTATTGAAAATCTTGAAAG